GGGCTGATTAGTGACTCCCTCACCCATAGCTCTCACAGGTCTGACCTGAATTCTTCACAGAGCCAGTGTGCCTAAAGGCAAGAGGTGAGGCCTGCATATGTCTACCAGCCAGCTGCTTCCATAATAGAATATTGATCTCCACCAGGAGGGTGGCAAGCTCCACACCAGGCATTGGATGTTAAAGGCAAGGCCTCTGTAGATGGCAAATCCATCAGCCATCAATTTGACATTAGCAAGCAATTACAATGCAGTCCCTGTTTTACCTCCACTTGGGGATATCAGGATAATTGTTTTAAGAGGAGAAAGAAAGGGAAAACAAAAACAAAAACAAGGAAATAAAAAGCCTGATCAGTACACATTGCTCCTCTAGAATTCTTTTTGATGAGGGTGAGGCTAGATGCTACAGCAGAATGAGCACTGGACTTGAAGTCAGAAAAATTAGTGAGTCTATAACTAGAAACCACTGCCCATCAATGTCCTTCTCTGAGTCTTCTTGCCTTGGTTCTCAATCCTGGCTGCATATGGGAGTTACTCGGTGAGCTTTTAAAACTCCTAGTACCAAGACTGCTCCAGAACAAGTATATCATACACTCCAGGGAAGAGACCCAGATACCATCAATATTTAAGGCTCTCTGGGCTTTTAATGTGCAGGTGAAAACTCTGAGGACATTCAAAGTGAGGTGGCTGAGGTGATCCTTAAGGCAGTGATTTCCAACCTTGCACACCCATGCAGGTCACCTGGAATCTTGTTCCAACACAGATTCTGACTCAGTTGCTGTGACTTAGTACATCTAAGGCTCTGCATTTTTAATGAGCAACCAGGTGATACAGTTGTAGCTAGTCTTGGGACAATATTTTGAGTAATAAGACTCTAAGGTACTTTTTCTTGCAAACATTTGAAAAGTCTATAGCAGCATTATCCTGTAGAACTCTCTGCAATGAATTAAATGCCTCCATCTGTGATGTCCTGTGGTAATAGTAGCCACACGTAACTATTGAGCCCTTGAAATGTGGCTAGTACAACTGAGGAACTCAATTTTTAGTTTCATTTAATTTTAATTAAATTTAAATAGCCACATATATCTAGCTGGTGCCATGAGACTAGAGGTTTTAAAGCATGAAACATATGACAGGGTTAAGAAAGGATGTTTGTACCATATACCCATGGGTAGGATCACATGTACTCCCATTCAGGAATAGATCCCAATTGATGGCAAAATGCTCTTCTTCTGGCTCAAATTAAACACAAAGTCTAAATTGATATGAGTAGAATGTGTTGATTCTGGGTATATCATGGATTGGATGTGTCAGGAGATACAGCTGAAGAGGTGATCATTGTACTGGGTCTCCTAAAACAGACTGAGGAGTTTGGGCTTTAGCTCAAGGACAAAAACAAAAGTATGACCAAGCTTTCATGGCAGTCCAAAAGATGGAATCCTTGATATCACCCAGAGCTTGCAGGGAAAGAAACTAGAGGAGGTAACATTTGGCATGTGCCAAAGAAAAAGGCCAAAATGAGAAGGTGAAGAGCACTAAGTGTGTGGCAGAGAACAAGGAAAGTGAGACTTTAAGAAGCCTAGGGATCCATAACCTCAATACAGGGCAGTAAAGACAAAATACAATGGTGACTCTGCATCCTCTTATTTCAAAGGATAACACATATTATTATTGAAAAAAAATTGTGTTTTTTTGTTTTGTTTTGTTTTTTTGTTTTCTGTTTTGCTTTTTGGGTTGTTTTGTTTTGTTTTGTTTGAGGAGTGGCTCCAAATGGGACTGCTGGATACAGTTATGGAGGTTGCACACTGCTCAACTCTAGGAACAGCTGTTAGCATAATTAAATGTAAGTGACATCCCCTGGAGTTGTATGATGTACATACTCTCCCCCATTTCATTTTTTTTTTTTTTCTATTAAAGTGCTTTCGCTTCTAGTCAAGAAAATCCCCTGAGAATGGGAACTTCAGACAGGAGACATCTAAACAATGAGCCCTAATCCCTATAGCTTCAGTTTCCCAATCACCAAATGGGATGAAGAATTACAGGTCTCTCACATGCCAGGTACTGTTCGGAGGCTTTAAATGTGACATCTTGTATTTCTAACAGCAGTGCTGTTTCTAACAACAGTAGTGTGAAAGAAAGCATTCCTGCATTTTTGCTCTTAGGAAATGGAGCTGAGACATTAAGATAGTGTAGGTAGAATCTGTTAGAGCCAGTATAGTCACCCAATCTGGTCTAAGTCTTAGATCCATGCTTTGTCCACTACTTGATTACTCCTTATCAGTGTTAAGGGGATTCCATGAGTCAGTTTCAATATTTTACAACCCTACTGGAAATCACTTACTTGCTTGTGATTAGGACACATACATTCAAACATCACAGGGCTTTGATGTGGCTAAAATTCTATCAACTTACTGTGGCAACACTAGTATCTCACACTGATTAGAAACTTTCCTTGGCAACAGTATCTGCCTTAGATTCATTAGAAACTGAAACTAACTGCTTTAAAATTTTCATTTATTTGGCATCTTATCAAAATACAACTACCTGGGAGCAGAGTAATAAAAATGGATCCTTGGTGGTACATCTACAACATCCTGCCTAGAATAACAATTATGTATGCATATCTGTATATCACCCAGTGGCTTTACCTATCACACACATGGTAGTTATGGCCAATTCTCTTTCTGTTTCCTTTTTAACATTTCATAGCACCTAATACTTACATACAGCTACCTGTGGGATTCTTTTGCCTCACTGTCCCATGGTCCCTTTGGACTTACTGTGCCCAAGACCATACATATTTCCTCTTCTCACCTTCTTGTTTTTCCTCTTTGTGTGTTCTTTCTCACTGAATAGGACCACCACCAACATGGTCACCTAAGGCAAGAACCTGGGAGTAACCAGCTCTGACCCTCCCTCCCATTTACCTAGTCACCCCTAAATTTATCTGTTAGGATTAAGATCAGCTGCCTGTAAGAGAAAACCTAAACAACAAACAAATAAGAATGATTATTTAAATAACTCAGCTGTTTACCACTTCCATAAAAGAGGTAGGACCTCTGAGCCTCTGCTTATGTCCTTATATCCCTTATATCCCTTATAGTCATCAGGGATCCAAGACCCCTCATTCTGCTCACCATATTAGTTGCAACTTCCAACCTAATGTCACCTCACAGCTCAAGAGGGCTCCTAGAGCACAATTATCATGCCCATGATATAGGGTAGCAGAAGGAAAGGGCCATAGGGTAGAGTGAGAAGGGGAATTTCTAACAAATTTAATTACCTTTAATCAGTCTTCCTCCAAATTTCACATTACACTCCTGTTGATATTCCTTACCCATATCTTAGAGTTCTGAGAGACTAGTAAATATAGTCTTTTAGCTGGATGCCTGCTGTCCCATAACAATGAGGTTATGATACTACGTCAGAGAGGGGAACAGATTTGGGGACACAAATAGCTGTTTCTGCCATTCCAAGTATGGCAGCTTCTAATCATTTTAGATTTAACATACCCGCCTGCTTCTCTACCTCACACCACCATTGTTCTAGTTGAGGCCCAACCCCAGAGGAACAGCAACTTAAATGACAACTGGAAAAATTCACAGAGAGCAAGAAAAACAATCTTTATCCAAGTTAGACTGGCTTTTTCCAATTTACCTTCACCCCCACCCCCCAAAAAAGCTTAGTTCAGAGGAAACAATGATGTAAGAAGGACTAATGTTTCTACCTGCCCCTCAGTTTAATAGCAAGAGATTCCACATGCCAGACAGGAAAGAGGGCTAGGAAGGAAAATGTGCATTATGTTAAATAATTGATGTTAATACCAACAACCAAGACAAACAATGGTGATAAATGACATAGAGTGAACCAAGGAAATTGTTCAGCTGTGATATCGTGATTTCTAACAGCTTGACTCTATAATCATCCAACATAGTTTCATCAGGAATTTCATCAGTGTCAACGCCCCTAAGCTGACAGTCTTCAGGGTTTACTACAAGTGTGTGTCTTAGTAACATGAGCTGGCTTTCCATCCATCATCTAGTTCAAAAGGGTTGTCTCTCTATCATTATCTGGAGACAAAAAAATGAAACGTTATAGTGAGTTTTGTGCTTCTCCTCTACCTCTACATTCCCACAGAACCCTCTTTAACCTTTTTGCCCCCCTATCTAGCCCTGCCTGTGCCTGGCCTGTAGTATCCCCTGATATTATTGTTGTACTAAACTAAACACAACCCTTGATTCCATGGATTATTAATTCTTATTTGTATTATGTAGTCAAATGATCAGTCAGCAGGTCAAAGAATTCAACTCATCTCTCTGAGTCCACACTGCCCTTGTTCTAATATAGTCAATAAAGCAGAGAGCATTGTGTCAGCTTCCCAGGGTCAAGTCTAGGTACCATGAGGCTTAGGCCAACCAACTCACCTCCTATTTCTTTATCTGCTAAATGGGAATAAGAATATAGGTCTCACTCTGATTTTTTTTTTTTTGAGGAATAAATTGAAATAATCTATGTAAATTGGCAAGCACATTTTACAATTCTTAGGAAAAGGTAGTACACCTACCCTTGCCCCCAAATACACATAATTTTTCCAGATGGTATTTAAAATGCTTTAGACCTTAAATGAAGCTAACCATAACATAATGAAAGTAATAACTACTGTTTATTGAGTTAAGTTACACACATCATCAGACTTAAACTTCACAACAAAGTTGAAAGAGAGCATATCACTCTTAGAAAAGGGAGCTCAGGGTTGTCGAGGTCACAAGTGGAAGCATCTAGAATAACCCTGTGTTTCTCTTACTAAAAACATTCGAAAGTAGCCAATAAGTTTGAGAATTTAGGCAAGACTGGGGAACATTTAAGTTCCCTTTCCAACTTGTATCCCAATTCTGGAATCTAATTTTTGTCACAAGAAACTGTATTCCAGGTAAGGATTACTTAGTGCCGGGCATTCTCATTGAGTTCTTTCTTTTCCTAGACAGGCCTCCTCTGCTGCAACCATGTTATGCCAGATCATTGGTCAGGCCAAGAAGCATCTGTGCTTGGTTCCCCTCTTCATATTTATTGGGGCAGGTAGTACTGGAGCAGAGCAGTTCTTGCACCTGGTGTTGTTCAATCCAGATGTCAGTTGGGATAGAAAGAATAACCCAGAAACCTGGAACAAAAGGAGTCTCAATCACCAATACAAGTTCTACTCAGTGAATGTAGATTACAGCAAACTGAAGAAAGAAGGTCCAGACTTCTAAATGAAATGTTTCACTCTAAAGCTGCTTAGAATGAAGGTCTTCCAGAAGCCGTCTGCACAATTTATCACTTATGCAGGAAATATTTCCCCCCTAAATGCACAAAATCATGGTGGTGTATTGTGTTGGGATTTACACTGAATAATATCTGAAACTTGAGGGAAAAGAAAAAAAGAAACTATATTCCATAGTATACAGGTTAATGGCTCCCATGCAGATGCTAGCAGTATGACATGGTAGAAGCAGAATGGGCTTGGGAACCACTGTGTGTGTGTGTGTGTGTGTGTGTGTGTGTGTGTGTGTGTGTGTGATTTTCATATCCTGACTTAAACTTATATTAGAGAAGTGGGGAAAGGGAGAGTTGTCTTGTAATAGAACAGAAGTGAGTCCATTTTTTGAACACTTACTTTGTGCCAGACATGGTACTAACATCTTTATCTCTATAACCTGCAAACCTACCAGCAAACCTGTGAAGTTGACTTTATATGATCTTCATTTTATGGTTGAGAAACAAGGCTTAGAGACATTGAACATATATCCAGGGTTCAAAGACTGGTTTGTTAACACCAAAGCCCCTCCTCCTTTTTTGACAATATCTATGGGGAATTGAAATAAAATATTTGAGTGGCAGATTATAAAACATGGCCTACCTAACCCATTTTGGTGGTTTTAAAACATGTCCACCAATTCAATGATATTCCTCCCTTCAAATGGTGAAGGCTAAATCACCACCTTGAGCATGGGCTATATCAGTAACTCGGTTCACACTGGGGGAAGACAGCTAACATGGTGTGATCGCACTTAAGCAGCCTTATGGAGATGTCCATGTGGTAAGAAATTGAGACTTCCTACCAACAGCTGGCAAGGAACTGTGGCCTTTCCCAATTGTTATGTGAATGAGCTATCAAGAATCAAGAATCAAGCCAGGAAGTTTCTTTTATCTTAAACTACTCTGCTTTGTGATTATCCATGATAGAACCATTTCCCCTCAATCTACAAGAAATCATAATTGGAGAGAAAAGCCCACCATTCTATAGCATAAAATACAAGTAGAGATGTCTTCCATGAAGAATCTGGCCATGTGTCACAGTGGAAACAGAGTGGACTCAGAAATCATGGAGTTCCATCTACCACCAGCACAATTTACACATGATTTAACTCCTCTAAATATTGGCATTCTCATCTACAAAGTGGGTATAATAACTCCCAATTTACAAGGTGACCATAATGATTTTAAAAGATCATTTATTGAGAACTTTATTCTTCAACAAACACTGAAAGATGTTTTGGGCACTATGTTCATTACTGATGTCGATAAGACACATAGAGCCATACCCTCACAGAGCTTTCAGAGGAAAATAAACATAATCAAATAGTTACATTTCTAAAGCATGGCAAGTTGTATGGCACATGTTTGGTACTCAAAAAATATTTGTTTTCTCCTCCCTTTGATCTTCTACTGAAGTCCCACTTAGTGGTAGTGTTGGTAGTGGTGGTAGTGGTGGTAGGTTTTCTTCAAGACATCTCATTTATTATGAGACAATACCTCTTCGAACACTAAAAGCATGGCCACAGTCTCCCTACATTTCCTGGTAGACTCTACAAAAATTAGAGAATTAATTATTCTCTATGATCCATATATTTTTTTTAATTTCTTTTCAGTGTAACAGTATTCATTGTTTTTGCACCACACCCAGTGCTCCATGCAATCCATGCCCTATCTAATACCCACCATATACTTTATTTTTAAAAGAACATAATATTTATCTTCCAATTCACTAATGAGATTTGACATTAGAGTCATCATTGCTAAAGACTATTAGGAATTAGGAAGAATAATTGGGAATTAGGTTCTCCCCATAATAATGGGCCTACCCACCATCCTTGATCCAAGGAGGTACCCATAGTCACTCTAGACCTTCTGAGAAGGACATGGAAGGGAGGCTAAAAAATACTTCTTTCCAAATTTGCTCTGAAATCACATCACCAAAAACTGACCCTCATTTTCCAATTGATGACTCAAATGGCAATAAAATCCTCAAGCTATTCAAAGTCCAGTGGGGATTAGTGAGTAGGAATACTGGCGACCATCAGGGGACATGCTCAAAACTTCAGGGCTCTGCAGATGCTCTGTAAGTCAAATGACCATCATAATCTCCAAATGGCTTGGCTTTCTGTTGTTTGTCTGTCAGTGACACTTTCATAGGAAACAGTGGTGCCATGGCCAGGAGATCACAGTGGATGTCAGGAAACCTGCAATCAATGAACTAATGGGACGGGCTTTGGTGAGTCATGTCTCCTCTTGTGGAGTTTCAGTTTTCCCAGACACAAAGTAAAGGCAATGGATTCCACAAGCCTTTTTCCTGGATCTAAAGTAATATGATAATTGCCCCTTTTCAACAATGATTGCTACCACTTCGAGCATTCTTCCTTATGCACTGCTTTGGACCTCTTTTTACATTGTTTTCCTAATCTTTAAACAAACCCAGAGATAAGTGGCTTTATGATGCTCACTTTATAGACCCAAAAGGTTTATTGAGTAACCTCTCTAAAGTAAAAGGCTGGTCTGGAGTTTGGACTCGGCTATGTTCTGCTCTAACCTAAGTGATTCTGGATTGCAGACTGACCAAAGGACAAGTTATTCTAGAAATACTCAAAGAAAAGGCTGGTGTCATATATCACATGAGGAAAAACAGAAAAGGTAACAATATTCAGTCAAAGGCATATTTTATTGTGATTTTTTTCCCCTCTCATTTATCACTGAGGAATCCCAAGGAACAGCGTTGATATCTACGGACTCCATTTGAAAATTTTAGTAATTCTTCAAATTAAATGTGCGCCAATTAGAATAAACAGGACATATTTAGCCTAAAAATATCGTGCATACTTTGGGGTCCAGAGCACCTTGTTAACTCCTTGACTAGCTCCAGTATAACCCCAAGGTGAGGATCCCCACTGAACCTTAGAGATTTTACTTTTTCTACAGAAATTGCTGAATGCCCATTATGTGTCCAGTAGTATTTGTGCCTCTGTGCATGCATATTTTATTATCTCTCCACATCTAACCAGTGAGTTAGGTACAATGAACCCCATTTTGCTGCTGAAGAAAATAAGTCTCAGAAAAAAGAAAGAGATTTCTCAAGGTCATACTGCAAGGAAAAGGCAGTTAAGAAATGAACCAGAAACTCCTAGATTTCCTCATCACACAAAGCCTGGCTCAGGAGCATGCTAATCTCCCATAGCTTACTTGGAAAGGCCTACTCCTCTCTCATTCATGAACAGGCAGCTCTATCCAACAAACGCAGAAGCAGACATAAAACAGAAGTGATGAAACCTGGGCAGGAAATAAGCAGAGTATTTTAGATATGGCTGTTTTCTGGAGTGGGGAACAGGACAAGTTCCTGATAATGTGAGCCTGACAATAACAATGAGTAGCTGGAACTGGGAAGGAAGAATCTTCCCCGAAGCTGGGTATTTTCTCAAGTCCCACCTAGGATCAAAAACAAATCACAAAGAAGTGAAGACATCCAATTCCAGGTAATGCCAGAGTTAAATTCATGCTTAAAAATCTCCTGGCTTTAGGAAGACTATCAACTTTTCTGGGAGAGTAAAACAACCACATAATGCAAAGAGCTGCATGAACCCCTATGTTTATAGCAACATTATTTAAAATAGCCAGACTATGGAAGCACCCCTTGTGTCCACCGGTAGATGAATGGATAAAGAAGTTGGGATACGTATACACAATGGAATATTATTCAGCCATAAAAAGAATGAAATCTTGCCATTTGCAATGACATGACTGGAGCTAGAGAATATAGTGCTAAGTGAAATAAATCAGTCAAAGACAATACCATGTGATTTCACTCATATCTGGAATTTAAGAAACAAATATGAGCAAACAGAAAATAGAGAGAGAAGGAAGCCAAGAAACAGACTCTTTACTAAAGACAACAAACTGATGGTTATCAGAGGACAGATGGGTAGGAGGATGGGAGAAATGGGTGGTAGGGATTAAGGAGTACACTTGTGATGACCATTGGGTCATTTATGGAATTGTTGAATCACTGTACTGTACATGTGAAACTATTACACTGTATATTAACTACATTAGAATTAAAATAAAATTTAAAAAAAGGAAAAAAACAACAATAATGATGAAAAATATCAGTGAAAAAATTTAAGAAAAGAATGATCAGTGGACAATGGTTCAGCAGCAGATGGCACAGAGAAATAAGAGCGATATTTTATTTGGGGCTTATTATATATAATATTTTAACTGCCCTTTAACTGCAGGGCAGACTCTTTAAGGTAGGTGATTAGGATTCCCAACTTGTGAATAGGGAAACTGTGCTGGAAATCCTTCATTTGCACCTCCAAATCTTTTCTCCATTCTTCTACACCTGGCCCATACTCTAGGAGACTGACATTTATTGACTACATCAATGAGCTCCTTGCCTTCTGGCTTCCAGTTGGGTTTAGTCAATGGGAGCCATCAGTGGGAAGATTGGAAGGTAGAAGAATGACATCTGGCTCTTCATTGCTCCAACTCCTTTCCTGCTGGAACTTGGATTGGCAGCAATCTTCCATTGGAAGTTATAGCTCTCTCCAGGCAGTTCTTTCCTACAGCTATAACTACTTGCCAGACCCTGGTAAATGCTTCCTCTCCTCCCCCTCAATCCCAGGCTCAGAGTGTAAATGACTCTCTGCTGTCACCAGCTCTGAGATGCTTCACTATCCCTTATGAGTGTCTCTTAGCTCTGTCTGCATCTTTGTAAACAGCTTTGTCTTTGAACTTCCTCACTTGTAGATTTTAAGATTTTAAGATTTTAAGCTGATTACTTTGGGAGGGATGCTGACTGATACGGAATCCAACACAGAAGGGTTAAGTGGTTGTCACAAAGTCACACAAATGGGGTGTTAGTTAAAGCCATGTCAGTTGCTATAAGATATCAAATCTTAAATCTCAGTGATTCCAATCAAGATACATAAATTTTTCACTCACTCAAGTCGAGCATAGGGGTTCCTCAGTGGCAGGTGGCTGTCCCCCAAATGGTGATT